TTTATTTCTTTGCAAAATACAAAACAATAATCTGTTTAAACAATTCTGATTAGAATAGTAATAATAGTTATAATTATACAAAAGTTTATCGTAAAAAATGATGTGTGAATCCTGAGTGAAATGCAAATTAGATGTATGTGTGAGCTCTTCATAATAATAAACACTTGACAACATGTGTCCAAACAATTAGTACATCAACACCGACGAGGACTTCACACAATCATATGATACGTGAATTTCATGAAACTTTGCTTTTGTTGTCGTGTTCTTGAAACACCTAAAAAAACTTGAATTTATTTATCAATTTGTCGAACGGTTTATATATAAAAAGGCAAAAACTCTTTACAGATATCAGTAAAAAACATATTAATTATTATTTCTCTCGATCTCTACTCCCGGACCCACTGTTAGCTGTGGAGTGTTTGCCGCTCTTATCATTAGACGTGTTGGCGTCGACACTACTCTGCCTGCTAGCCATCACATGCGGAGCTCCCCTATGATTCTCGTCCCACGTATCGGATGATTGTCTCTCGAAGAACATCTGCGGAATGTCTGAACCGAAGTAGATCTTCGAGTTGCTGGCGATGGACTCGTATTTCCTTAACTGGAGGTACTCTCGGGTGAGCAACAGTTGGTTGCCTTCCGCGAGCTTCTCCTTCGTGTAGAACTCGGCGTCGGCTCTCATCTTCTCTCTGTTGAAGAACATGTCGTCCTCTATGATCGACATCTTCTTCAGGGACTCCTTTTCCATGATTTTCTGGTCGAACGTAATCTTCGCCACCTGTTGGTTCTTCTCCGCCTCTATGATAGCCTTCTTGCGGTCAGTCTCCGCGTCCTTCTCCACCACCTTCTGGCGCTGCACTGATATCATCAGCTTTGTCTTCTCGCCTACCGGTGCCCCACAAAGCAATCCATTATTCAGTATGTGTTACGGCATTAGTATTCAATTTGCCGTCAATGATAACACATTGAATGCAAATATTGCATATTTCACTAATCAATTTCACTTTTGATGCAATTATGAAAATAGTGTTATATTATATAATATGTAATCTCTATTAGTGTTATACTGTAGTTGTGTATATTTCTTATGTAAAACTTTGCCTATAAGTGCTTATGAGTCACACTATACCTAACGTAAGCAACTTGTATTGTATGGTAACTAAAAGCAAATTCTTAACAAAATTCTGTAAATATTTCTATGCATTCGTTCGTCATTAAGGATATGTTACTTAAAATTTCAATAAATATACGCAAAACAATATACGGTAAGGCATATACAGATGTATAGGACTGGGAGGTCAGACAATACATACTGTACAATGCATAAGAATGCATAAAATCTTTAATCTTTATAATTTCAGTTAAGTTTTGTAAACAATAATCATATCATTCATAAGCCTTAACACGATTGGAGTCTCAATGTTACTTAAAATTTCGTCAAATATACGCAAAACTAAGCTTATATGAGTGCAAAAAGTAATGGGAGGTCAGAAATGATAGATTGTATTCCCTTGCTCAAATTCCTAAGTCTGAGAATTTATATAATATCTAAATCCATATAATTTCGATCATATTTTGTAAACAATAATCATATCATTCATAAGTCTTAACACGATTGGAGTCTTAATTATTCAGTTAGTATTGTTGTCATGCATTTAGTTTTAAAATTCTTTTCAATTTAGGCATACCTTCCATGAGCTCATAGTTTCTACGGATAGTCTCCGGTATCTTAGGTTTGGTGACCCTAACGGCCTGTACGAAGAGTCCCGGAGCGAACTGATCCAAATCTCTCTGGAGGGCAATCTTGAGGTTCTCATCGATTTGGTCGAACAAATCGATGTAAACCTCTTGCAGTGAATGAATTGAGCAAAACTGGTTCAACTCGTGGTGTACTTTATTGAATATGAGTGCCTTATCGTAATCTGCGGTGTAGTTCCTCACGATGTCATACCTGCGCTCAACAAATAGCAAAAACACATCAAAACATATTAACAAAACTATTGATTTTTTTATGTTAAGAATTCATAGAAATCTTTTGTGAGGCAACACATGAACTAATCACTGAAAGTAGAAAATATTGTTTTTTCAAATATTGAATAAATAGTCATAAAAATCAATAATCCAATCAAACAAACATAACTTTTGTATGAAATGTTAAAATAAATTAATAATTTGTATGCAACTAATATTAAAATAAGTAGAGCTATCTAAAAATATATTGATTAATGTCTAATTAAATCAACAAACTAAATTAGGCATTTTTATGAGGGGAACTGGAATAGCTTAAAATGATTGCCGTATATGTCATGATAACCTGACACCAATAACTAATAAAGCACTGACACTACAAAACTGATAAATCACTGGACACTACAAAACTGATAGTAAACTCTGATATCAGATATATTGGCCATCATTTCAAGCCATGCACTCCTAAACCATAATACAGTAGACTGTAATTCCCTATAAGACAACAGATGCCAACATTACACGACAAATAAAAAGATCTGAAGACTTGCACCGTTTGGCCCAATTGGCGGCCAATGATCAGTGAGTTGACAAGTGATAGCTTAAGACATGGGAGACAAAGAGATAGTGAGTATAGATGTCATACACGGCGTGTGAGTGCAAAATGTTGACCACTTCTATGCGGTCGAAGTATATCATAACACCACCGGATGTACCGCAGGGCACGTTCTTCACCTCATCGGTCTGGAGGGTCACCTGAATGGACCGGTAGGTCGTCAGCACCGGAAACATCATATGAAAGCCCGGCACCGATGTCGTGTCCAATAGGGCACCGCCTCTGTAGTACACACCCACATGACCTACCAGTGCGACAACACGTCATTAGTACCGCAATTTGGGTGACAGTAAGGTATGGGTGAATGGGTGGGCGATAGGGGAAGGGTAGGGAATGGTATGCAAACCCTCTTCGATCTTATGGATGGCTGAGTTGAACGCGACGACCAGTAGTCCGAAGGCAATACCGGTGCCGATGAACACATTGGTCTCCAATGGCATCACATCTAATGGTTTACGACTTTATGGGAGGAATGAGTGGATGTCTTCGGGTGTGGAGTGGATGTGATAATGGATTCACGAATGAGTGGTTGATATAAATTAAAAAGTTATTGATTTCTGTAATAATTATTGCAATGATTTTCACCACATTTTCGTGTATTCATAGCAAAACACTGATAATAAATACCGGTTTATGATGGGAATGCTTTGTCACTATAACTCTATGGGATATGTATGTGAAAAGGTACCGAAAACGTCATGTACTGTTGCCAATGAGTGCAATAATGTTTTATCTATAATATGAACCTATGGTAATCTACGCCCTTTTTAATGTGCATTTTATTTAGCCAGCCAAGTTTAAAGTTATTTAACTTGAACAGAATATTCTGGTAGACCTATATATCTGATAGGCTTTACAACTAGGTGTTTGTGTAAAATTAATTCTAGTAAAATAACAGTGTTATAGTCTATATGATAAATCTAAAAGCAAAAATTACTATTAAATTATTATTACTATTTAATTAAATTATTATTAAAGTCTAAAATGTACAATAATTATCGAGTTGACCATGGTTATGGTTAGCACTTTGCTGACTTGAACACTTTCGGTGCAATCTTAAAAAGTTCACCTGAAATGTAAACAAAATATAAAATAATTACAATTCAATTCATATTCATAATGATTTTTAATTGCTATCTAAATATAACACTAAATAAATTAATTGACAATACTGTGACCACTAATATTGATATTTTACAACTAATTATATTGATATTAATATTGATACAACTATTTAAATAACAAATACTTACAACTATTAACGCATTGAACAAAATAATCAGGGTTTTCCTTCATGACAGGCATACAGTAGTTGTCCTCAAGACAGGGGATAGTCTTCTTACAGCCCTCCGCGCAGATCATTAGATACATGTATTGACTCAACGCATCCTTAGACTGTTTGGCATTCTAGAGGTGATTGCACGAAGACATACAGTTCAGGTCCTTCATCCTGGCGTTTATCTTAGGTATCACTCCGTCCATCATCTCGGCCGAGGACATGGGTTTGTCCGAGTCGTGCGGATACACGCTTTTAGTGTCTTTATTCGCGTAGTTTGACACCAGACTATGGCTGTCATCCAAGTCATAGTCATTTCCGGAGTTGTGGTCACTTTGCAATCGTTGGATGTGTTGTTCAAGTCGTCGGATATGTCGGTCCCGGTGCCTGAGCGCCGACACCAATCTCGTAATCTGGTGCTCGTAGTTGTTTGGACTGTAATCTGAATGGTATTCATCGGTGTATTGATGACTATTTGTCTCGTAATCCAAACCATTAGTATTAGTGATGATTATTATGAATAATATTAACACAGTATCATAATTCATATTAATCGTCGAAAGTTTATAAAAATTGTATTTATTGTCATTAGTTTAGAAATATACTGAAAACATAATGATTATCATTATGTCATAATATAATACATTATTTATAAATTTATAAGCATACAGTACTCCATTAATAAATTTATTTAATTAATTTCCTGTAAAATAAAAACTACATTTTAAACATTTATTTATACTGGATATCTATATTGTCTTAATGAGTAAAATAAATATTTAGATATAATTAAAAAATTTTATTGTATATTACCTTACATAATTTAATAAATAAGTATACAAATATTTACAAAATATAGTTAAATTTATATTTTAGAACTTGATTAATAAGTTGATAAAAAATTCATTTCAAAAAAATCTAAATTAAAAATGTAAAAATAATATCAGGATAATAAATAAAATAAGTGAAAGATATAATTAATACAATATCAGAAATTAAATAAATTAACAAACCTTGGGTATAATTGGAAAGAGTGGACAACTATTAGCTGTAAAATTGACATGCATGCAAAAAATATAAACTTATAAATATGATCATGCTAATAAAAATTCTTATAATAAATACCGCAAATAACAAAATAATCCGGGTTCTCACTCATGACAGGCAAACAGTAATTTTGATCAAGACAGTCCAACAACTTCTTGCAGCCTTTGGAGCATAGGGTGAGATACATGTACTGAACTAACGCGCCCTCCTTAGCGGCCCGGGATTTCTTGATGTGATTACAAGAAGCCAAACAATCCTTACACTGTTTGTCACACGAGGAACTGGATCTGCTGTGCACCTCCGTGTCCACTTTGGTCAGCTCATTGAATATCTCAGTGTCCGAACGCGGAATTAATGGTATGAGTTGGGCGTTAGTGGCGTGAATTTGGCCTGGTGGTTTTGATGAATGGGTTATTTCGTAAACCGCATAATTATACGGATTATAGTCCCTAGTCTTATAAAAACCATATTTCGGATAACTGGGAATCGGATTACTGTATTCATAGTAACTATGTGGACACCATACATGATCGTAACTGAACCTAATTTGAATGAATATTATATTTATATCTATAAAATAAATGTTCAGAAAGTAATTAAAATATAGATCAATAATAAAAGTATTACACAAGTATTAAAATCATACTTATTATGGAATACAAATTGAATGACATTTTAAGTGTTCATATGATTATGTGATTAGAAATAAAATATATTTATTAAATAATCGTAATTATCTTAAATGGAGTTTTAATATCCTGTTTGAAAACATAAATTATTGCATCCATTAAAACAGTTTTAAAACGTTTTATTAACTTTTAGAAAAGTAAATTCATAATAAGTTCAATAAATAAATATACAAATAAATTTATTTACAAAAAATAAGTTAGATTCAGGAGTTTTCAGAAAGGTTTCAGAAAATGTTGAATAAAGTTTATGTAAAATCATTTCAAGAACATCTAAATAATTAATCAGGATCAAATAAAAATTAACTTCACTCAAAATAAAATGAATAATACAAATTATAAGAAAAACAAACCTTGGGTATAATTGGAAAGAGTGGACAACTATTGGCTGTAAGTTGAGGTAANAATTAACTTCACTCAAAATAAAATGAATAATACAAATTATAAGAAAAACAAACCTTGGGTATAATTGGAAAGAGTGGACAACTATTGGCTGTAAGTTGAGGTAATAATAATAATTAATAAAAAAATACTCTGATTATGCTAATAAAACATTTAAAAACATGTAAATGATAAATACCGCAAATAACAAAATAATCCGGGTTCTCATTCATGACAGGCAAACAATAATTTTCGTTCAAACAGTCGACCATATTCTTGCAGCCTTTGGAGCATAGGGTGAGATAGAGGTACTGGACTAACGCGCCCTCCT